GGAGCAAGTGAATGAGGCCCAAGGAGTAGCAACCAAGAGTCTTACAAAGGTCCTAAACCCTAAACCCTAAACCCTAAACCCTCATATAAAAGAAAAAAGTATCAGCAACATCTCTGCTTCATTCGTGTAAACCCTAAACCCTAAACCCTAAACCCTAAAAAATCGAAAAAAAAGCCAAAATAAATTCTACAAAAAACCCCAAGCATACTGACCCAAACCCTAAACCCTAAACCCTAAACCCTAAACCCTAAACCCTAATTTGGGGTGTATATACAGGTGTTTGTTGGGGGCCTAGCATACAGCACAAGCCGCTACGATTTATGTGAATTGTTTGCTGATGTTGGTAATATTAAATCTATTATAATACCCCAAGTTGATAGATCTATACCGCCAGACTATGAAGGTATGTTGCTGCTGCTGCTGCTGCTGCTGCTGCTGCTGCTGCTGCTGCTGCTGCTGTTGCTGCTGGTAGTGGTGGTGGTGGTTATGGTGCTGCTGCTGCTGCTGCTGGTAGTGATGCTGCTAATTCCGCAAGTTGATAGATCTATTCCACCAGACTATGGAGGTATGTTGCTGCTGCTGCTGCCGCTGCTGCTGCTGCTGCTGCTAGTTGTGCTGCTGCTGCTGCTGCTGCTGGTGCTAGTTATGCTGCTGCTGCTGCTGCTGGTGATGCTGCTAATTCCTCAAGCTGATAGATCTATTCCGCCAGATTCTGAAGGTGTTTATGCTGCTGCTGCTGCTGCTGTTGCTGCTGCTGTTGCTGCTGCTGTTGCTGCTGCTGTTGCTGCTGCTGATGGTGGTGGTGCTGCTCGTGCTGAAAAAAAAACAAAAAAACAAACTAAATGACTAAATAAAATAAATATACTTATTTATTTATTTATTCTATTTATTTTGTTTTATTTTATTTTATATATTTTCTTTTATTTATTTTATTTATTTTATTTATTTTATTTATTTTATTTATTTTATTTATTTAGTTTATACATGAGTTTACTCTGTTCGTGGTATAGCGTTTGTACAGTTGAAATAAAAACAAAAAAATAAAAAAACAAAAAAATAAAAAAACAAAAAAACAGAATAAATAAACAACCAACCAACCAAACAAACAAACAAACTAAATAAATAAATAAATAAATAAATAAATAAATATATTTATTTATTTATTTATATTTATTTTTTATGCAGGAGCTTACTCTGTTCGTGGTATAGCGTTTGTACAGTTAAAACAACAAAAAAAAAAATAAAAAAACAAAAAACAGAATAAATAAACAAACAAACGAACAAACTAACTAAATAAATAACTAACTAACTAAATAAATAAATAAATAAATAAATAAATAAATTATATTTATTTTTTTATGCAGGAGCTTACTCTGTTCGTGGTATAGCGTTTGTACAGTTAAAACAAAAAAACAAAAAAACACAAAAATAAAAAAACAAAAAACAGAATAAATAAACAAACAAAAAAACTAACTAACTAACTAACTAAATAAATAAATAAATAAATAAATAAATATATTTATTTATTTATATTTATTTTTTTATGCAGGCGCTTACTCTGTTCGTGGTATAGCGTTTGTACAGTTAAAACAAGAAAACAAAAGCGTATAAATAACTAAATAAACAAACAACCAACCAAACAAACTAAATAAATAAATAAATAAATAAATAAATAAATAAATAAATAAATATATTTATTTATTTTTTTATGCAGGCGCTTACTCTGTTCGTGGTATAGCGTTTGTACAGTTTGAGGATGCAGAGACGGCAAAGAAAGCGCTGCAGTGTAACGGCAGGGTCGTCAATGGAAGAACTGTTGCTGTCTGTCTTTTTTTTTTTTATTTTTTATTTTTTTTTATTTTGTTTGTTTGTCTTTGTTTGTCTTTTGTTTGCTTTTTTTGTTTGTTTTTGTTTGTTTTTTTGTTTGGTTTTTGTTTGGTTTTTGTTTGGTGTTTTTGTCGCCTTTTCTTATGTTTCTGTCAATGGAAGAACTGTTGCTGTCTGTCTTTTTCCTTTCTTTTTTTTGTTTTTTTTTGTTTTTTTTTGTTTCCTTTTGTCTCCTTTTTGTGTCTCCTTTGTCTCTCGTTTCCTCTCCCTTTTTCTTCTTTTTTTTATGTTTATCTCTTTTTTGTTTGTTTTTCTCTCTTTTCTGTCTCTTTTCATGTTTCTTTTTGCATCTACTATTTATTTGTTTATTTATATTTATCTATATTCATTTGTATTTATATTTATTTATATTTATTTGTTTATATTTATTCTTTTTTTATTTTTTCAACTCTATTTCTTTTTATTTCTTTTTATTTCTTTTTATTTATATATATTTAGTTTATCGTTTTATTTTATATTTATTTATATTTATTTTTTATATTTATTTACTTTTTTTATTTATTTTTATTTATTTGTTTGTTTAGGTAACCCCCGCTAATCTAACGAGGGAGGAGAGAGCAGCACAGGAGGACCTGGTTTGTCTTTGTTTTTGTTTGTTTTTCCTTGCCCTGTTTGTTTTTTTTTGTTTTTTGTTTTGTTTTTTCAGTTTGTCTTCAATTGTGTCTCTCCTTTATTTGTTTTTATTTTTGTTTTTTGTTTTTTCTTTTTCTTTTTTATTTAATTTTTATGTTTGTCTTTTTCTCTATTTCTTTATCTCTCTCTCTTTGTTTTTCTTTGTTTCTCTTTCTGTCTCTTTTCCTCTCCCTCTGCTGTTATTCTAACAGCTAGTAGCACATTTGCTGCTGCTGCTGGCTCTATAACAACAACTACTGCTGCTGTGCTTTTGCTTTTGCTTCTGTTCTTTCTC